TCACTTGGAGCAGCTTCCCACCGACGCCAAGGTTGCTGGGACGCTCGCTGTTGGTGGTCCCGTCAAGTACAGCATCAAGGCTGACAGCGGTGTTGACCATGGGTTCATCGGTGAGCATGTTTGTCCGAAGATCTGTGACTTCTTCGCTGACGACCCAAGCAACAACATCGCCATGGTGCTTGTCCAGCCTTGCTTTGGGCTGCGATGGAACCTGGCTTGGAGCATATGATGACGGCTGAGATTCGCAACCGCATCCAGACGGAGTATGCCAGCTTCGAACCACTTTGGATGAGGATCCTGGGGCCGACTACAACCCAGTGGCAAAGATCCCTCTGACAATATACAAGGTAGCCAATGCATTGCACATTACTGTAGTTTGCTCCCACCGCCCAGGTCCAAGCTGGTTCTGAGCCCTTGGTCGGAGGTGCTCTGGTGGTGTCAACATGGAACAGCTCAACCAATTGCTTGCTCTCAACATAGGACTCAGCAGGCGATCGAGGAGGCCCAGCAGATGCTTGCACAGGACATCAGCTCCTTGAGGGGCTATGTCTCTACGAACATTGCCATCGTGAACAAGAATATTGGGAGGATCAACCACTTCCAGTTGATCGCGAGGGCGGTGGTGCTCCAAGGCTTCCGCTTCCTGGTGCGCCGGTGGAGTGGCGTTGGTGGTGGTACTGCGGGAGCTGGCGGCGGTGGTGCTGCTGCAGCGGGCGGAGGACTTCCCCCACCACCCACCGAGGAGTCCTGGGCGTTTGGCTCAAACTCCTGCCGAAGGGCGCCCGACACCCGCTACCCTCCCAGCGCAGCTTGCGAAGAAGCCTTTCAACCTCTACGAGTTGTGGGACGAGTGGATCAAGGGCCTGAACGGGAACAAGGCCGCATGCGAGTTTACTGCTCGTGAGCGCGCGCCGCGTCAAGGACAAGTTCTGCCGCGCAAGCATGTGTGGGACGTGTGATTCGGTTGATGGCAAGGGTTCGATTGGAGGGCTGCGTCGACCCATCTATGCCACCTACGGGTGGGTTACGGTCACCCAGATCATAACAAGTTCAAGCACGACAAGAAGATCAGCCCACCGGCTTCCACCCACGCTTGCATTGAGCGAACTGCCTTGGTGGTGGTACCCAGCCTACAGCGCGATCCTGCTGTAGGCTTAGCAAAAACAAATTTTATATGTTTCATTTTAGTTTTAAGATTTTTTGTGGTTACTGGTTTTCTTGTTGTCTTTTGTTATCTTGTTTGTGATCTGAGCGACTTTGTCTTTGCCGTTCGTGGACTTAGCATTTTCGAGGACTTTGCGATTTTCATGTGCTTTTCCACTCTGCCGATCACTTTGCGATCTTTTGCTTGGATTGACTTTCTTCCTCTTGTGTGCGTCAGTGTGTTTGCGAAAGCCTTCGTTCATACCAGTGTCGATGTTCCAGCGAGCCAGTCGGTCGTTCGGTCGTTCGATGTTCCAGTCAACTTGGAAGAAGGTCGAGAAAGGTAGAAACACCCAAAACAAAGGGAAAGACAGGGTAACACGTAGAGCCTGGTACTCCATGTACACGGTTGTATTCCTGGTTTGTTAGAGGGGTTATACCTTTACTGTACCCCGTTGAAAAAAATGTAAGAACGGACGACGTTAACCCCCAAGAAGGGAGCAATAAAATAATTGTGCGGTGTTCAAGGGACTAACTAAGGGCGGAAACAGGAGCGAGCTAGCTAGTTTAATAAGCAGATTTTGGCTGTTTGTGTGAAGCCTACTGGTACCTGGTACCGGTCAGGGCTGAAGGAATGGATATCACCAAGCCCAAGGAAAACAATGAATATTAGAGAATTTGATACTCTCTTGTCGGCTTGGCAAGGCATGGCTGCCAGTGCCGGGGCAGGTACCTACCATGTCGTTTGCGTTGTAAAAGAGGGCCCCAGAGAATATTGCGTGGGAAATAGGATCCATCCCCAGCAGTAACTTTTGGGGCCAACATTTCAGCGCACCTCCATGGATGGAGACAAACGTGGCTGCTGTGGTGGTGGTCGCTCAAAGTCCAATGAGCGTGGCTCCAGGCAACCTTGGGTGTCTACTAGCTACATAGCTAGATAAGTCTTTTGACAAAAGAGACAGAGCATGTCATTCAGGAAACCTGGCAACAGCAGCTTCACCTCTACTACCTATCTACGCAATTGAATACTGGTAGTTGATTGATTATATTTAAAGCATACAAGGCAGTGTAGAGTGTAGATGATAACCCGGGTGGCGGGTGGCACCAGCAGCCATTTCTGAAGTACTGGCTGGTATAAGTGTGGATGGAACCTCCAGCCTTGTTTTTAGGGTGATGACATGCATGGATATTGTATTGGTAGCTTGCGTGAAGGGTGGCGGATGACCATCCTGACGGTTCCCGCGCAGTTGGCTGTCGCTCGTCAGATTCACCTTTAGGAGGCTCGGGTACTGTTCTTTACCGATCTGATCATGAAGATTGCAAATATGATAACGACCACCATGATTGCAGCACCGACGACGTACTTCGCTTTGCTTTTGCAGGGATGTTCCAACTTTTCCTCTGCTTCTGCCAGCACTGCCTCCTCGTCCACTGCCTGGAGCCTTCGAACTTGCAACGTGCTGGGACGGAAGCTGGGGTCGTCCTCGAGACAGTCCGTGTGGCTGTTGTTCGAGCTGTCCATATCATCCTTGGGCTTTGATGGTGTCATGGTGATTGATGGCTTGTTGTCTAAGATGCTTCGTGGAAGTAAGTGATTTGGTAAGCCAAGAATGAGCCACCGAACTCTGACTGAACTCCCCCTTGAAAGCTAGCTAGCTAGAGCTAGCTAGTCGAGTACAAAAGTGATGGGCTTCACCATCCCGAAGTCCGATCCCGAACCCGGAAAGCAATCGCTCCGCAAAGTACGACTGTATTAATAGCTTATTTTGAATTAAGGGTCAAAGAGTTAAATAGGTTATTCTTATTAGGCACCATCGGAAAGATGATTATTCTCTTTGTGTACCGGTACTTTCCAGGAACAGGACTGAGACGCTACTTCATTTGCAGGCCTGTTTTGCGGGGGTCGCGCCTAACACTTCCTCAGCGTCCTCTCTCCCCAATTCGATTCTACCCGTATCCTGGCTACTAGCTAGCTAGCTAGCTAGAGAGCCAGCCAGAGTAGCAGCATTTGGATTGATTTACTATTTATTTCCTTTGTATCCAAACGAAGCAACCTCTATGGCCAGCCTTGTCCTCTCACCCATTCCACTTTCCCTGGCCTCCTTCCTTGCCATCCTTCCCTTCTTCGGTTCGTCCGCTTGATCTTGGTTGTCAGGCTCAGGCTCCAGCCCCTTGCAACGCACGGCTGCCCATGATCTCAAGTCCATTGCTTCCCATGCATATGATAGTCCACTTTAACCATCTCCCTGTGAAACAAACCTACAGTGTGTAGAGAGCTTGTCCTTTTAATTAATTAAGCCTTGTACTCAGTTAAACCATACGGTCCCAGTACCAGTACGGGCCTGTTGTGTAGCTCTTGAAAGCTTCCCGTCGGGGCCATTTCAAGCTCTGGCGTCATATTGTTGTTCGGCCTTGCTGAGAATTGCTGTTCTCTCCTACTGTATGCGTCTCTTGTGTTAGCTAGCAGGTGCCTACAAGGCTGTTTTGGAGTGACACCCCCCCTTCCTCTGCGATTGTGCCAGCATCAAACATCCATTTTCCTGGCTGCGCCTGTATGCACGGGAAACATCAAGCTGTCTTAGCCAGCTGCAAACCTGAACCAACCACGAGAAGGCATTGGTTGGAGCCATGATCGTAAGTGTGCGATAAGTCAAGTTGCGACGCTATTGCTTATTTTGAACAGAGATTTAAGGTGCTGTCAGTTTGATTAAGCCCTTTTCTGCAAAGTCAGCAAGACGTTCGCTGCTTTTTGGATCTTTTCAGACCCTCGTCGATCACGGCTGACTTATTGTTCTGCACTCTGGTGCCCCATCTTTTATTTCGGAATAGAAGATCTTGTTGTGGGTAATCCATGCAACATGAGTTTGGAGGCTACTAAGGACGATCAGCAACGACGCTGCTTGCACATTCTCATCACTGGTAGCTCCCAAGGCGTTGGATTGGCTGCCGCCAAGCAGTTGATTGCCGAGGGCCACACGGTGTATCATGCCTGTCGATCCGACGCTCGAGCCCAACACGCCGCGGAACAAGCTGGCGGTGGTGTCGCCCTCAAGGCGTGCAATCTCTCGGACTTTGACTCCGTCAAGGCGTTTGCGCAAGATGTCCAAACGCGAGTGCATCGGTTGGATGTGGTGTGTCTCAATGCCGGCATGTCTCCTTCCACTAGCATCCAGGAGCCTCCCTTTTTGACGCAACAAGGATACGAGCCGACCATTGGGGTGAATCATTTGGGACACTTTTTGCTGGCACACTTGCTTCTAGACAAACTGATGGCATCCGCAGAGAATCCTCGATTGGTCCTCACGGCATCGTCTGTCCACGATCCTTCTCTAAGAGCAGGACAATCCGGAGGCAAGACGGCCACCTTGGGGGGTTTGAGTGGATTGGGTGTCAATCTGAAACAAAATCCTCAGGGACCCACCATGGTCGATGGATCCACAGAATACTCTGGTGCCAAAGTCTACAAGGATTCCAAATTGTGCAATATACTCATGTGCCGACAAGCCGCCACCGGAGAATTATTCCCCAAAACCCTCACCACCTGTTGCTTCAATCCAGGATTTGTCCCTACCACGGGACTCTTTGAATCTCTGCGGCAGGAATCGTGGTGGAAGGCGAAAGCATTGACACTCTTGGCCAGCATTATAGGATTCTCTATTCCCGTGGAGGTCGCCGGGGCCAGGCTAGTCACCATGGCGACCCATCCCGATATCCCAAATGGATCCTACTATTGTGCGGCGGACAAGTCCAAGGGGGCCACGCCAGAGGAAGGATTCGTCGTGACAAACGTATCGGAGGACGCATCCAATGATGCCCTGGCGGAAGCATTGTGGAAGAAATCCATGGAGATTGTCAAGCCGTGGTTGGAATAGTCTAGAGCAAAAAAGTTCCCAACGAAAGTAGAAGCCCACAAACGTGGCCCCCCAGGCAATGGAGCACGGATATGAATGCGATTATCGTAGAATTACTTAATGATTCGATTCGATTCGATTCCGTACTCTTTCCTTATACATTGTGTGCTACAGGACAGACTGGCTCGTTGGCATCGGCCCCTGTACCAAAGCTCCGCCATCAAGGAACATCTCGGTGCCTTCATTCGTACCGTAGTGACAGCAAATCGTCGTGCTGCTGGCTGTTGGGCCTCGGAAGACTGCATGGATTGCTGGGGATGTAGCTACGGGTCTGCGACTCGACTCTCCATATTCGGTAGGAAACGTCTGGCCTGGAAGCGAGGGGCGGTTTTAAATCCTCCCTCCACCGGTATCATACGACTCATCCGGACTCGGTTTGCCGCAGGCCTTGTCTCGCCAAGGTACCGGGTAGGTACTGTCCAACCCTACTTCATTTAACTCCACACTAAATTGACGTAGCCTCACCTCAAGTGCACACATACATGTTGCCAACATCATGAACGATCCCGTCTTTTAAAGACTGCATCCGTCAGGCCAAAAGCAGAATGAACAGAAAATAGCTACCTCGTCGACGTAGCTGATGAACGTAGTATCGTACCTTCTTGGCATCTTGTTTGATGATATACTCAAATCTATGACGGACCATTGCATCCCTGACACGTACAACTTGATTTGATCTGTACCGGTAGCCCCGTTGCACTGTGTGTAAAGTTTTGGACGACTCTCATGAATGTGTTTTCGTTGGCGCCATCGATCTGTTCGATGAAGCTGGAGAACGGAAATCTTTCACACGAGGATCGTTGAGGGCCCTTGTTTTCCCTGAAAGATATTCAAATATGTGCTCGCACGCCTGGAGCAAATGGAGCAAGATGGCTATATTAGTGAATAGGGATTATATTTCTGTTGCCACGGCGGCCACCGATCGGGCTCCGTGAACCCCAACATCAGCACCAGACTGCACAAAGGCGGAGCCCCCGTTCCTGGGCGCAGAAAATGAGGTTGTCATGCTTTCGGAGAGGGCCAGTCAACCCCACATGGAAGCCACTCCTACCTAGAGGTATAGCCATGCAGTGACTATCCGTACTGGCAGAGAACAACTACGGCCACAGGGTGGCAGTTCCCAAGCAGACTTCTCCCATGAGATGTTTTATGCTATGATTATCCGCGTGATTACATATGCACTCAAAACGTGGCTTATTTTTATATGACACCCAGACTCGAAACTTGATTGAATGAGATGATGCAGTGGGGATGGGTGCGACAGCATTCAACTCCCCACACAGAAGTACAGTGAAGTAGACCGTTGCCTTACTGATCGACCCAACAGCCACTTTCAAAACTGGACCAAGGGATTCAAAGCTTAAGCTTGGACACCTCTGGATGAATGGGCTGTCCACGCCAGACCAAGCTCCTTTCACTACTTCCACGAGGGACCATTGGAGGCATCATCGGGTTCAGTCCATACAGGAGCCAAGCCCGTGATCTCAAGAAGCTGGTCAATGCAAGGGCATTATCATGAAACATGTAGCCTGCCCCCAGTCTCTCGGCAATCACAAACCCAGACACCAATGCCTCTTCATGGAAATTGAAGTTGAAAGCAGCCCCTGCAAACCAAAACGATCCCAGACCTTGAATAGCATGAGAAGAACGACCGAGCTTGAAAAATTTGACATCATGACTGGGATGAAGCCATTTCTTGTCTTCCACTATTCGATCCGGAGATAAGCCAATCTCCTTTAAGGTTTGGTTATCAAAATTCTTTGTTGTTAGCTGGAAAGGGGGTATCACGTGTTCATTGCAATGCATGGGATCCATGTTGTTGCTGTTGAAGATGTTGGTAAACCTTTGAAGATTCCGCTTGTCACCAGCATTCTTCATCAAAAAGTTGTAGCCCTCAAGATAATGGCATCCATCTGATGGTGTAGACAGGTTGGCAGTGAACTTGGCAATATAGTCAATGTCGGAGTGAACAATGGTGTGTTTGTAGCTCCCAAGAAGATCATTCCTTGGAAAGAGTTGCTCGTACAGAGACTGGCACGCACTCCCTTGGGCCTTGTGAAGAGGAAATTCACACACCACGGAGCTGGGATGATCCAGTATTTCCCGTACCTGAGGCCGCTGTAGTGTGAAGATGACATGGTCATATTCCCTCCAAATGCCATTTGAGTCTAGAAGTTTTGCAGCTCTGCCTCCCTCTGGCTGGTTCGCCATTTGGGCTGCCACAATTCCATTGCCGGAATGCAGATGGATTCTGTCATCAACTTCCAAGTGCTGACGCAGCTGCTCAACGTAGGCACTGGTACCATTGGATACATAATGAATATTGACTCGGGACGGTGACAGACACAAACCAAAACGAGCCTCAAATGTTTTCAAAAGGGCAATTGGCATGTCAAACAAGGCTGCACCAGTGGCAACATAGGCTTCCAAACACGGAGCCAAGTAGTCTCGGAGAAAGTCCTCTGAGTAAACTCCATGTTCTGGGTTTGTGAACTCTCCCAGAGTGGTTTCCATGAGCTGAGCCTCATTCCAATCATCATAGGCATCCTTGAGATCTTTGGCCAAGAGATGGATCTCATCTTGATACTTGAGAATGCGGTTGCGGTCATTGAATGGTGGGGGCAAGGAGGAACCCAAAATTTCCCCAGTGCTTGATACCCTGTCATTGGAGAAGCTGACTGGAGTCTCATATTGAATAGTAAAGCTAGCTGCCATGGACTTGTACTCCACTCCCAACCAGTCAAGCAGTTTCTCAAAGTTGTAATACTCCAAAAAGGCAACAAAGGCATGCTCCACAAATGGAGGCTCAAACTTCTTTTCTGAGTAGTATGTAGAAGCAGCTCCTCCAAATTCAGTATGTGCCTCAAAGAGGTCTACTTCATAGGCCGATGCATTGTTTTGGGATTGCTGGAAGGCCAGAGCAGCACCCATGCCAGCCACACCTCCTCCAACAATGGCTACTCTCAAAGATTCTTGATGGGGTTCAGCTGCTGGTCGATCGGCAATGGGAAGGACATATGGATTGGAAAAGACAGCAACAAGAAGGATGCTGATGATCAGGTTAGAAAAATCTGGCAGGTTGTTGACAAAAGCTTGTTGCCAAGTGACATTCTTGGTTGGTTCTGCGTGGCTTGTTGATGACTCTTGGGCAACAGCATCATCCTGTCTCTCAGAAGCATCAGCCGTGTCCATATCGAAAGTTGAGGAGTTTGCACTCGTAACCCCACCAGCTGCATCGATAGTCTTCACCGTATCAGAAGCTGCTCTGTCATACTGGGCCTCTTGCTCTCCTCCAGTTGTTTTCTGTATCTTCTTGCTGCGATGGTACAACGTGAGGTGAATCCCAACTGTATAGATTTCGATAGAGAGTACTGTCAGAAGCAGAAAGGGATAGTACACCCTCCAGATCCTTTCATAGATTGTCAGGGTTGTTGGCTGAAAGCAGAGATCCCAGTAGTTGACTGTAGCTCGTACCCAAACAGTGAGTCTGAGTAGAGTCTCACAGACAAGTGCAATAGGAAATGATGTGATGGTGAGTGGTGACTGGAAGCGGTAAAGAATGAGGGCAATGGATACAGGGAATTCCAGAGCAATGTTGAGTGAAAAAATGATGGCTAGCTCCATCCACTTCCCATCCAGGGTAGAAAGAACGGCTGACAATATGAACATGAAATTGCCAATGCAGACAAGATGGTGAAGAATCACCAGAGGGCGTAGGCGGTATTCCTTTACAAAGAAGCAAAGCTTGAAGAGGTATGCCAATAAGAGAGGAGTGACTGCCCAACCTGCTACCTTGATAACTTGGTTCAGATTGTGCAACCAACTCACTGGGTGGTTCCAATCCATGTCAGCGTTTCCTGTAATGCGGGCAGAGTGGATCGTCCCATGAAAGGCAATAGATTGAGGAAACCACAACACTATTTCCACAATGGAAATTATGCCCACCACTGATTCCAATGCCCAGAATATCACCTTGTATTGCTGGGATGGTGACATGGCCCCAAAGCTCTTCGGTAGCCAACGGCAGCCAACCTCGAGCAGAACTGTCCCCGCAACTGAATAGATTAGTAACCAGCACAGTACAAAGAAATGCAGCAAGTAGTAGATGTTGTTCCCAATGGTCACAACCACTTCTGGGTGGGAAAGGATCAGAGAGTCATAGTTGTTGTTATCCATGGTGCTGCCTCCGGCGTTTTGGTTTGGGTTGCTATCAAATGCGGTAAAAGTGAGAGTGCTGTAAAATTACTTGTGGCGTTACTATGTATGGGTTTAGAGGGGACTAAAGTGCGAAGAGGTGCCGGGCCGAGGCATGCCAGCCACCATGCAGTTTCTGGTTCGCCCTGGCAACCATCCATTGGCAACCATCGGAAAGCAGAGGCGATACCAGGTTGGTATACCAGGTAACCTACTGTACGAATCTATACTTATGTCAGGGGTATGGGGCAACTTTCGGACTTCGCGACGATGTGCTTCTAAATGCACAAATGTGCGTAAACTTGCGTATAAACACGCAACTCTAAATAACTAAAAGCAAAGCAAAAAGCATAACGTTCGTAGCTTTTTTATTTTAATGTCTACGTGATTACGCGTGTTAAGTTTGATGCTTTTTTGAGGCGGTGGCAGTTGCGCCATACCGGTACCCCAGTGTCCTGGATCGTTGAGTGTGGAGTGTATTGCCTGCGCAGGCTGTTGCAGTAACCCATACAGACTTGCACACATCAGGGTCCAGAACCCTTGGCTATGTAGAGCATGGAGGTTTTGCGAACTGTTCATGCTGAGTAGTTCTCTTCCTTTGGCTGTTCGTCCTGCTGACTACTAACTCTTCCTTTCGTTCCTCATGAAGGTTGGATTCGATTCCCTGGAGCGGCACGTTAGTTGGAGAAGCGGCCGATGGTTCGTTTTTTTCGTCCTCGAGTCTCGGCTCGACAGCTCCTTTCGTTCCTCGAGAAAGTCGGACTGTGTTTGATGGAGACACGCCATGCTCCATGCAGGTTCTGGTTGCCGAGTCCCCCCGAGGCACCCAGATGCGCTCACGTACTTTAGCCAGCCGGTTGGCTGCTCTCTGCCTCTTCCTGCTTCTTCGGTTTCATGTCCTCGCTTTGCAAAGGGTGGACTTAGGTCTGGGTTTTTCACGACAATGGATTTAGTATGGTAGAATAAAAGAAGGACGCGATGGGGCTGCCAAGCGCAGCGGGCTGTCGGTCGCCAACTTCTCCTAGCTCGGACTTGCATTGTGTTTCTCTCCGATGGTTCTCGAACGCTGCTTTCAACTTCTCTCCCAGTGCCGACTTTCATCTCACCCAGCACGTGCATGTTTTGGGGGTCCCATCGATGCAAACCAAATCGGAGCCGACAGCCAGCCTGCCTTTCGCAATACACCCTGGTCTGTTTGGTATTTGCCGCCCTGGACGGACATGCCTTGCTCCGGGGTATCCATGCAGCCAAAGCAACAACCAAGCCGCCCGCCAACTGTATTCCTTTCTCTCTCTCTCCACCCCCACAGTCGTACGAAGAACGGGTTCGTCCAAGGAGCCGCACCTCACACATCTTGCTCGCTCGACGGAGCTTTCGACGGTATCAGTTGTGTACGGGTTCGCCCAAGGAGCCATGCGGCGCCGTTCAAAGAGTGGTTCTCATTCCAAGCCGGTTGAATCCTCCGCTCACCTGTCTGCCTGGGTCTCCGAGTCGTCACTTAGTAGTAAGTGATCCCAGCCAGAGCAAATACTTCGTATAACGGCTTCCGAAAGATGCATCATCATGTAAACTATAATTAGATACTAGTATTGTCCGTGGACTCGCACAAGAGTTGACAGCTTCCCCACCTTTCAACAGTCAACCTCGTTCTCCATCTTTTCTGCGGGAAGAGCTTGCTCCATGGGAGCTGACTCCGAAATTGAAGGCATTGTACCAGTGCTGGTAGTACAATCAGTGTTGGGTGCTCCCTTGACCCCATACTTCTCCTTGACTTCCTCAACCATGAGGGCCACAGCATCTTCACCCTTCTTAAACCATTCCTCTCTGTTCTTAAGTGCATAGTTCAGATACTCATCCGAGGAGACACCAAAGACTCCACACTCCTTCAGCTTCTTTGTGATTGGAATGATGTAGAAATCAAAGAATCCAATCTCTCCATTGTACCAGAAAGTTGCTGGATCTTTCTCCATTCTTCCATTGAGGTAAGCCACGTAAAGCTCTTCAAACAAGTTCTGATTCCACCTCCTGTAGACATGCCAATGCTGCATTGTGTGACTGGGAAAAGAAAAGGTTGGGAGGTGAGGGAGTGCTGACAATGAATCCGATAGAAAGAATTCATAGGAATGCATACCTGATGTCGCTGGCTTGGATAATGTGTTCGATCTGGAGCAACAAACCAAAAAGGAAGCAATCAAGAAAGCAAAGGTTGAGCATGCAGTCACACATGAGTCATGAGAATGTTGCCTGTCCTTGACGTACAACAATGGTTGCCTTCCTGTTCACTTCATCCCTTGGATTCTCATCCACAGCGGTAGCACTGTCACCCTTCTTGAAGGCCTTGTCCCATCGGTCATTTCTCAATTTCTTCAATTCTGTGTCCACAATGTCAGTAGACATGACCGAATTCACCACAAGCTGGCGGAAACGGATCAAATCAGCTTGGGTCTCAAAGAGAAAGTCCCTGAGTGCACTGTAGGTTGGTTGCATAAGCAAATCCCAACTCAGGTTCAGCGAGTTCTGTTCCGCTACACTGCGCTCCTTGTACTTGATGGCAATGGGGACTCCTTCCTTGACCAGCTGAGCGTTGGACACCCCAACATGATCTGTTCAAAGGATGAAACAGAGGTTTGCAAGTCAAGTGAGTAAGCATTCCTGCTGCAGCCAGGCAACGTCAATGTTTTTCATCCCCGTACCAACGTCATGGATCAATGCAGAGAAAGCACAGGCAAACTGCGTCAAAGGGTCGCTGAAGGCCGCAGTGAAAAGAGCGGTTAGAGAAAAAATGCCGTTTGGGCATGCATAGAACCACGACCGGCTGGTTGCACCTACCTGGTGATACCATAGGTGTGGCTACATAAAAGGAAACAGCGAGAATTGTGAGCCGCAGCGGTATAGAATCGAATCATGCAATGCCCAAGGACTTACTCATGCAGAGAAGAGGCAGTTGCCTGCTGGCTTTCATTGATCAAGTCTTCGAAGTGCGAAGGTGCCACAATTCGGGCCATCAACTTGATCACGCTCATCACAACGTGGCTGGCATGGTTGAAGTCTGCACGACAAAGATAGGCAATCGCACTCGTAAGTTTACGTTGAGGCAACACTCTCCACAACAGTGCCAACCAAAACTCACTGTGGAAAGGATTGTCATTGTACATGCTAGCAATGTGGCTGACCAATAGCCTCAACTCTTCTACTACTTCCACGGGAATCTTCTGGTCCTCGGGATTCTGCAGGGAAGCATGGTGATCGAACTCAGGCAAAGTCTAGAAAGAAAGAATCATCAGGGAAGTGCAGTATGAAAGAGACAATTAGAACCAGACGTCGCGGCAAGCAATCAAATGGCGAGATTTTCGACGTACAATGATCTCGCGGACTTCCTCCAAAGGAGCATCTCCAAATTCAGCTGCCACAGCACCCTGCTTTTTCGTCGTAGACGCGCTCACGCTTGCTCGTTTGGCTGCAATATCCATCATGATTCTGGATAGCATTTCAACATTCCAGTCAATAAGTCGCACCGTGCGCTTATCGAGCTCTGGGAATAGGCCGGGTCTTTCAATCGGAGATCCATATCCCTGGCTCGATCGACAAGATGCCACGCTGCCGGCTCGTTCACCAGAAACATTGACCCAGAAGCCTTCAATTGAACCTAGTCCTTTCAAAGCAATGGGGTCTGATCGTGGTTGCAACCAAGCTCCCTTTCCCGACTTGATGATCTGTTCTGCAGTTGCCTTGGAGCACTGGATTCGGTTCGGCTTGCTGGAGCTTTCCAATCGGGCACAAGTGTTCATTGTCTGCAAAGAAAAGAAAGGAGAAGGTGCACATCCATGAGATGGGAAGGTGCAAGAGGCGGCAGGAATCAAACACTGGTTTGTACGCACATCACCAAACAACTGGGGGTCGAGGGAAGACAGAAGCCAAGGTTAGAATGAATCAAGTGAGCAAGAAATCGCGGCACTCCAGAGGCACTGCTCTCAGAATCGTACCTGGAATCTTGCCCGCTCTCCCCTTAAAACACCGGCTGTGACCGGGCCGCTGTGAATGCCTAGATAGTTGTAGCAAATGAAGGTTGATGCAGTGGAACGGTTAGCTCTTGACACACCGCAAGAGTAGCCGCCCCGCCCAAGTACTTACCAATCCTTAGGGAAAGATCAGCAGTGTCGGGACCCAAAGTCACCTCGAGCTTCCTGGTAAGAGTGTAGAACTTGCTGAGAATGTCCTGGGCGAAGCGTGCCATGACTGGATAGATTCAAAGAGCATCGCTCGTGAGGCAAGCATCGACATCGTACGGGAGGACAAGCGTAGTCCATCTGGCTGCACTCACCAACTGCATGCTCTCGTCGAGGATCAGGTAATCCGCAGACGGCGACCTTTTGGCAAAATGTGGAGTCAAGCTTTAGCCTTGGAGAAACCTCTCAGTCAAACAAAGACACGACCAGCGCAAGGTAGGAACTTACATAGCAATCTCCGACTAGATGGGTCAGGACAATGAATGGAGAGTATGTTAGTGTGAGCAATCATTTACTTCGAAAAATTGAGAGACAAGAAGCCTCGAGCGAGCGCACCTGTTTCCACTTTGAAAACTCGGCGTTTCTTGGCTATCCTGTCAAAGGATTGGAACAAGGTCTCGAGCAAAACGAATACCTGTGTTGGTTCTGCAGGTGGGTAGCACATGAGAGAATACAGCTGTGTGAGGCTAGACCGACAACCGAATCAAGCTAGCTAGCTAGTACAAGAGCAACTGGAAACGTACCGCGAACAGAACTCCAGGCCGTAAATCCGCTGATATCGGCAAACAGCTAAAGAGAGAGAACAGTACAGTGCAGCAGTCAGTCAGTTGTGAGGAGCCTCGTACTCTTGATTCATCGGCAGAGCCGCGATGATGCATGCAACGTACCACTGTCGTTTCCAAAAAGAGATCGGCCAAAGGTGCCTCCACGGCGGAATTGTCCATTCCAAGTTGTTTGCTTCCATCATTGAGAAACATTTTGAGACTGCCCGATGAAGACCTTCGAGACCCCCCGGATGCCTTGTTTTGCTTGTTCTGCTCGTTGATTTGCTGCTGATGACTGAGCAAACGGTCCTTGAGGTGATCAGGTACAATGCTACTGACAATGGCGCTGGATTGAGCTGTGTATAGAAAAGGATACAGCGTGCAATTGAGGTGTGTGTTAGTGTGACCGATCATGCAACCACTTGAAGCGAGACTTTGGTATGATACTACGTACCCGCGTTGCTGATCATGATTTCATTTCGTTTGAGAACAAAGTAGTCGTATGTGAAGAAGACGAGTGCCACCGCCACGAAGGTTCCTGCCACCACAGCAGCAAATATCAACGGAGTTGATGTCTTATAGTCATTCTCAAACTCTTTCGTAGGGTATATCTTCTACAACAATGAACATAGCAATCAGAAGGAACAAAAAAGAGTCCGTTGAGCCGCCGGGCTCCGCAAAAAGACAAGAGCGATCAACTAGGTGACGACTTACCATGGAATACATGCAATTGCCTGGTGTGTTGACGACCTCTGGATGGGCAATGACAGTCAAGGGTACCTGCAACGCCATGTCATCGTAGGAAGGATCATGGTTGTCTTCAAATCCTTGATAGTATGCCTCCTTTCCTTCAATCATGTAGCTAAATGTCTGGTTGCAGGTGTTCTGAATGACACATAGCATTCCCTTGACATTGGAGGGCAGAAGATTGCGCATAGAGGCGTCAAAGGCAGTGGCGGTGGAGATCATGGCAACGACCTTGGAGTTTAGATCGCCAGCATACTGGAAGACGGGATGAAAGGCAAAGCAATGAGGATTGTCCGCATTCTCATCACTGTGGAATCCCTGATGTTCTTCATCCGCCAAGCCGAGAAAGGGACGAATGTTGCTGACAACGGTTTCATTGCGGAGACGCATGGCACTTCGCATGGATGCATTGATCTGTGGATTCGACGTGAGATCCCAATTGACGAGTGAGTACTTGCGCGGAGGAGGAGACTGGACGGAGCGGACAAAGTACAAGTCACGTTCGTCATTGGGGACAAATCCATCCGGTGTCTTTTTGCTGATGAACTGCTTGTACTTTTTGGTATTGTTATCGAGCTTGTTGAGATTGCCAAAGCGAATGTAGTGAGCATCTTGAATGACTTGTTGGTAGTTGGCCGTGGAAAAGTTGACCCAGTCCTCGCGCTGCTCACGGGTGACAATGGTACTAATCCCGACAAACTCTGCCTTGCTGACCTTGAAGTAATCTTGCGCGTAGACCTCAAACATGGGAGGGAAGAGGAAGGGCCAAGGAGGGTTCCCATTGTTCATGGTGTCGGCCGTGAGAGACATGGTGTTGGACAATCCCTTGAGAGCCGTGCGGAGGTCCTTCTGCTGGTCAATGGCGGCATCAGCCACGGTACGAGCAAACTGGGAGAACTGCATTGCAAGCATGTGTCAAGTGCAAGATAGATTGAAAGGTGAGTTGCATAAGATCAGGTGACAACACATCAGAGCACGAGCATCAGGAGCATGACTTACGACATTACGAAAGTTTTCGTCTTCCTGACGAACAAGCAAGGCATAAGTCGTGGCCGTGACCGAGATCGCGGTAGCCAAGAGCGCCAAAAAGACGAGGATCCTCCAAGTCTGGACCTTGGCCGTTTCCTTTTGCGACTGCTTGCGGACTTCTTCCTCTTCATCCCTCGAGGAAGACATGTCGTGTGACGAACGCTGCGTTTCCGTGCCGACGGATTCCTCGTCGTCATCTTTGGAAACAGACTCGAGCTCATCGCTCCACTCGGATTCTTTTGTTGGTTTGCCCATTGCTGACTGATGTTATGGTGACGAAGGAGACAAGCAGAAGAAGAAGAAGAAGAAGAAGAAGAAGGGGGTTCCGATGGAGTTTGGTTGATTTTTCAACGAGGGGAACTATGGCGATGAAGGAGACAACGAGAGAAGAGCGTTTTCAAAGGCAACCCAAGTGGAAATGTGAGCTTTCCATGCCAGGTTGGGAAGGCAATATCGCGGGTTGGGCTCGGTAGCTACCGGTACCGATCGGCACAATACTGTTCCTGTGCAGGCACGATTATTGCTCTGATACTACTGACAGCGTCCTTTAGCTACCGAATCTGATGGCGGGATATTCCAGAGAGCTCTCCATAAAACAGTGGCGTCCAAGTAAGTAAGTGTCCATTGTACCTGTCGAGCGCGACAGATAGATGAAGGGTCTTTGAGCGACGCAACGATACCTCTGCCACTGCATCTGGGGTCTTTTGTCCCAGAGGAACTGGCATCAAGAACCCCAGTTACACAGCTGTAACAAAGTTGGTTCCTCTATCACGTAAGAAGTGGTATTACCGTAATACCGTACTGGGTCACAGAGCTGTCATTAAAAGAAAAGGTGATCAACACGTTAAAGCTTGGCTGATAGATTGATAGATTCACTTTCTCAGACCAGCTTATTGATTCCTGATCAATGGTGCAGTGAGCGTTTTAATTCCAACCTTGCCTTTGAATGTGTCCATTTTGTGGGTTCGGCAATAGAGTCTTTTAATGGCTTAGAGGTTGTCTTCATGCGTTCATAAAACTCTACAAGGGATTTAAAGACCATCAAAAAGGACATTCGAGAACTGAGTCCAAGAACAATTCAAGAATTTTCAAGCTTCTCGCTGGAACAAGGAACTATTGCGTCCGTACTCAAGTTATTTGGGTTACGGTAATCATCTATCTGAGGCATCGGAGTCCGTTCTCCGTGCTGGATCATACCCGGTACTAGCTAGCTAGTAGTACATGTAGAATGTAGTAGCAGCGGCCATCACCAAGCTTGACCGGGGCCACTTCTTTTCAGAAACCAGACTCGACTCAGTCTCTGATACACAGTGCCTCCAGCCTAAAAGATGAAGCTAAGCACTTGCCTGCAGGCTGAAGGATTGATCATACCGGTACATGTAATACAACTTCTTCCGATCCTATAACTTCTAGGCAGAAACAGCCAAGTCTCTTAACGGTATGGAGTTGGTTTCTCGTGCGCAGGCCTTCGCAATAGCTATCGTACGTTACCGGTAGGCAGATCGCCTAGCTACATGGTAGTTACTGCATAGCCTACTGGTACCTGCTGCCTTCTTCTCCCAGGCTGAAGGAAAGGCAGCTCACAGGTTTACACCAGCCATACCGTACAGTACCGGGAGGGGTACGGCACTACGACAATACTCCTACTACCGGCACCTGCAGTCTCAAGGAAGCGTCACGTACAAGTGCGTTCTGCGAAACAGCCATGTCTGTGATCTACCATTCCCAGTCCTTCCTGTAAGGTACGAGGGCAAGTGTGGCCAGCTCGCTAGCCAGGTTTATCATGTAACTTCTTCAGGAACCGCCTTGCTTGACGTTCATTATCTCTTCAGCCTCAGCCTTAGCCCCCCGTCTTTGCCAGTAAGGAGTTATCTCTCAGTCATACAGTGTATTCCTTCCCAAATACATGGCATGGTATGTTCAGCAAGCCAGATACATCTGCATGTACTGGTGTAAAGGTACCGCTCTCTTACAACCAGCCAGCAGCTAAACTAGGCAATGTGCGGACGGTCTATCGGATGCTGGGGGATTGGCAAGGACCTTATTTTGATTCTGTGCTTTCGTCAGTTTCCTTATTACCAGTGAGCAGTGATCACCTATGAGCTCGCCTATGCAAGAAACGTGCCACGCAAAGAGCCTTTTTGCCGATCAGGCGCTGTTACTCTGCTTCAGTAGCCACAAAGGACCGAAGTGGCTGCATGTACTTGCTTCTAGCTAGCCAGCTGGAGCTACTAGCTAGCTAGCAGCTATTAGAGAGCAGCGTCAGCCGTACGGTATCAGTCCCGTACCCACACCATTGCAAGTATCGCAAGGCGGCAGCGAACAAACCCCAGGCTGACATCTAATCCAAAGACTCAGTATGACAAAGCTCCTCTGCTCCATTCGCGCAGATTGCAGATGCAAAAGCTGCCACGTAAACGTAAAACAAGCAATGCGGATGAACCAGTTCCGGTTACCATGTTACCATTTCGTTCCCAGGCATTCCTGCAGTGTCTACATCGTGGCAAGTTTCTTTCTGACTAGATTATTGGTAGTTACTAGACTAGCTAGCTAGCTGTGCTGTAGACTCTCACTCGGAACTCGGAAAAAACTACTCCAGTATCTGGTAGTGGGCTGTACACATTGGTTTGTTGATCTCCAATTGCTTCTTTCCTGCGTTCCATTTTAAAAGTTTAGCTGTTCAGCTGTACTAGCTAGCTAGAGCAAGAGACTATCTGGCTTGGTTGGCGCTAGCGAAAGGCAGCCGAGAGTAGTCAAGTAGTCAAGGCATTGGTCGTCCTGCTTCGCCTCGATTCCGCAAAAAGAACAGAATGACGATGCAGATGGGACTTTGACCAGCGGGCAAGGAGCCCCTGTGGTTGTTACGGTTTTCTGATGCCATTGAGGAACCCCGCCCGGTACAGATGGATGATGATGATATTGGGGGGGTTGTCGCGACTATGGTCCGTGTGGAGGCTGCAACTCACTTTGGATTGGCTGTGCACCCCACCGCACCTGATACCTCCCCCGGCACGGTCGCTCAGAGGCCGCAGGTGGGATACGTGCCAACGAAATCATGAGCCGGTGGCTGCAACTCTGGCCCATTTGGCGTTCCGGGTTGCGTAAAGACTTGGGGATGGAGACTACTCGTGGTGCTTCCTGTCGTGCTACCAGTGGCCCCAGGTGTGACGTTTGAACAAGTGCTGCTCTGAACTTTGTCAACACCACCATTGGTATCGTCCAGGAAGGTTCTGCCGAGAAAGCCGCCGAAGCTCTCAAGAATATGCTCTCCAGTGATGCCATTGTCATTCGCGACGGCAAGGAAACCAAGGTCCCTGCCTTGGATGCCCCCACTCTTGGCTTACCGAGACACCTATCGGCTATTCCATGCTTGGCGGCAGGGATTGCACTAGCGGTACAGTCGGGCCCATAATAACCGGCACTCTGTAACGATCATCGGGGGGTTGTTCCATCTTCCAGGACTTGTTGTTTCAGGGAAAATCCAATTGAACAGATCACCCCACGGTTGTCACCTTGCCCTAAGCAGGTCCAGCACGACATGCCATGTAAATCCCTGCACGTACACGATTCTTGGAATGGTGGGCCATGATTTGGATGTAGTTGGGATGAGAAATCGAACCTCAACCAGACCGAGCCTTGCGACCGAGCCCAGGCACCAACCGAGTTGTGGGAGAATACTCCTCATTATCACTCCCCTCATTGGTGACCGTCGACTTCTTTTTCTTCTCAGTCTGCTCAAGCAATTGCAGCTGTGTCACCCTTTCCAGAACAGCAATGGCTGGAGCTGTGACCATAACGATGCATTGTCCCAGTGCTTACTGAGTATGTCACCAGGGTTGTGTTCTCCAGGCATGTAATTGGAAGTGTAGGATCCCAGCATCAATAGCCTCCCTCATCTTGCGGTACAATAGTGCATTATGTAGCATCAAGATTTTGGAATGAGGCATGGAGGCAGTGTTGAGGACTGTCTCGTCGTGTAGGATTCTAGATGTGCATTCCCAATGTCTGTGGCCCAGACTTCGCAATCATTGAGCTCATCATTGTGGTATCATAGTTGGTTGGCAATGTTAGAAGAGGCCACAGACGAATCGCTAGGTGGGTAGGATTGTGGTGGGGACACAGGTAGAAGGTGAACTGAAGGAGGATCCAGTGATGTCTTGGCAGAGGTGGATTTTTTGTTGCTTGGTGGTTCACTGCGACTTGGTTTTGGTGTTGCCGGTGGGTGATGCTGCTGCATCCTCCTCTTGCTCTTGAACGTATCCATGATGTTGTTGTGCTGGCTGAGTGTGGTGTAGAGGTGTTGCTGTCTGCCTGGTATGTGGTACCAGTACTTAGCGGGGCTGAACAAACACAGTCACGAAAATCTAAAAGTGGTCCTGAAGACTTTCGCTGTTGGTAGATGACAGAGTAGAGTGTTCTGTTGCCTCGACAATGCTTGGATGCATCGGAACAGTCAAACGGTGTCGCTGCTGCATCCTCCTCTTGCTCTTGAACGTACCCATGATGTTGTTGTGCTGGCTGAGTGTGGTGTAGAGGTGTTGCTGTCTGCCTGGTATGTGGTACCAGTACTTAGCGGGGCTGAACAAACACAGTCACGAAAATCTAAAAGTGGTCCTGAAGACTTTCGCTGTTGGTAGATGACAGAGTAGAGTGTTCTGTTGCCTCGACAATGCTTGGATGCAATCGGAACAGTCAAACGGTGTCGCTGCTGCATCCTCCTCTTGCTCTTGAACGTACCCATGATGTTGTTGTGTTGGCTGAGTGTTGTGTAGAGGTGTTGCTGTCTGCCTGGTATGTGGTACCAGTACTTAGCGGGGCTGAACAAACACAGTCACGAAAATCTAAAAGTGGTCCTGAAGACTTTCGCTGTTGGTAGATGACAGAGTAGAGTGTTCTTATTAAAAACAAACCGGCTTACTTAGGGGTTGAGGCAGGGACCCAAGGTCGGAGGTCTGACCGAGGGCTTAAGAGAGGGCGCAAGCCCGACAGCCCGATGGTCAGGCCGGAGACCGATGGGGCACAGCCGGCCCTAAGTAGCAGGTTTGTTTTGAAGGGAACGATAACGGCTGGTTTTGTATGACTTAAGGGATAGTTAACGGCCGGTTTTGTATTTAACGGTCGGTTTCAGTAGAACATGTAGAAATCCTACGGTACCAATACAAAACCTGCCGGTTCGTTCTGTTGCCTCGACAATGCTTGGATGCAATCGGAACAGTCAAACGGTGTCTCCGTGGGGCTTCGAGTTGTCGATTGGTGGCAGTGGATCAACACGCACGGAAAAACCAAAACGAATTGTTCAGAGTTCCCGTTTCTATCGAAATTGTGACCATGACATCGAACAATGACTCGGCTTGCTTTCGGAACGGAGGTACGGTGCAGTTCTGTGAAACTGTGCACAGACCCTTTTGGAGGCACGACTGGGAATTACCCTTTTGGTGGATGGCAGTCGCTTCCACTGATCGGCCGCTTGAACGAGGCTGATTAACCAAAGAACTGCTTGGTGTACATAATGTATCTTGTAGAGCACCCTCGACTTGGTAGATGATCACCTGGATACCTTGCCGAATGGTCCAGTTGTTGCGTCGGCGCTCGTCGCGATTTCCTTGTCGCGGTTTCCTTGTTCCGTTGACCTCCTCTTCTTCCACTCTTCTCCGCACATACAGTAACCGCTCTTTTGTATGCTAACGCAAGAGCTGGGAGTGGAGACGTCTGCTTGATGGAGATCTCCCTCCACTGGCACTGGGAATAGAGCAATATTTCCAGCTCCAAAGCCAGCTGCCTCTGCAATTCAATCTCTTGCTGAGTAATGGCTAAACTACATGTATCAATGCTTACCCAAGAATTTTCCCCACAGGCTTGGAATAACTGCAAGAGTCTAGGTGTACTTCTCAGGGTCTTTTCTGGTCAAAAACTACTTCATTCCTTCGCTCGTTAATCTACCGTATGCTAAACACAAGAGCACAAACACAAACACAATTTGGCGTCAGCTTCCAGGCATACGGTATAGCATCTTGTTGATGATGTGGACACTTGCCGCTGTCCGTATCGTGGACCGATCCATGTGCTGTTGTTCGTCAATGGTAGTAGCGAACTCTTATTGTTGTGCTTAATAGAAGCGGTAGCGACCGGCTAGTAGTAGTGGAAGCCGTCGTTGCGCTTCTTGTTCTTGTCGTCGTACCGGTAGCGACATACGAACTGATGTTGCTGTGGCCTAACTATCGGCGTAATGGCGCTGCCTGTCGATCTTGCTGATAGCTAGCTAGTAACAGTACCGACTAGCTAGCAGATAGCGGCCGATGCACTATGTATCTGTCGGCGGCGTCGCCGTTCTTGTTGTCGGCAGCATCGGCGGATCAATCAGTTCGGCCGTCTTGTGGTTTTTCTTTCAATTTTACGGTACTTGAATGCGCTGCTTGCTTTGCCAATGGGTGGGTGAAACTCGTTCCGCAGTTGCATGTCGGCTTCTGCTCGTGTTGGACGTGGCAGTAGCAGTAGCAACTGGCTAGTAGTAGCTCTCGTCACTTCTTGTTTGTCGCCGTAGCTGTAGCTGCAGCAGCAGTGGTCGTCGTCTTGATTGACTGACTGCTCGTGTTGGCTGGTGGAAGTCCGCAAATTTGCTATTATCCAGCCTGTTGACGCTGACACGTCACTCCCGCGAAAGGTACCGTACCTGTGCAGTACGGGTACCTGTTGGAACTTGCTATCTACTGTCTGTACTAGCTAGTTCCTTGATAACACTCCTAGTGTTGCACTCTTCCGGTTTGGCTCGTACGACCACAGTATCCATGATCCCTGCTTCGTACGTACAGTAGCCCCGGCTCCGGCTCACGCTTCTTTTTTTAGTTGTTTTTCGTATCAGAACTGGGATATTATTGTATCGCCAGTCGAACGATGTCTGTTCCCGCAGCTCAAAAGTCTTGGTCTTCGTGGCAGCCTACCGCGTATGGCGCCGCTCCGCTTGTAGTTGTTTTTCGCGACCTTGGCTCCGATGGCTGTTTCCGCAGCACAGACTCGACTCTTCCTGCTCGTGCTTGCGAGCTTGTTCTTGTTGTGGTGCCTAGCATAGCTCGGCACCCACTCCTGCATTTTGACGTGCGGAATTCATAGATGAGGATGAGTCCAATGTTGTACTAGTAGTTGTTTTTCGTATCTGTACTGTACCCAGCAGTCGAACGATGGCTGTGTTCCGCAGCTCAGTCTTCGAGTTTGCTCGCTCACTCCTGTGAGCTGCTGCGTTCTTGCGCTGGTTGGCTGGGCCCCCTAGACTCACTTGCCTGCTCAGGAGGATGGCTTCTGGGGCATTTTTCTTCTGGCCACCCATCAGTTTTGTTTGTGTACGGTGTTGCCGGCTCTTTGGATGGCGTCGTATTTGTTACTACGGCTGTATAGCACTTTTTGTCGGTTGATTGATCGATCCTTGGCTTCGTCACTTAGTAGCTAAGTCATCCCAGCTGGCTCTACTCGGCAGCTTCGTATAATACGAAATTTTCAAAGATGCATTACGTAAACAAAGATTAGATAGATACTAGCAAGTAATTTAGGTGGACTTGCCCACGATTGCAGCTTCCCCACCTTTCAACAGTCCATCTCTTTCTCCATCTTTTCAGGGACTGCGGGAAGGGACTGCTCCATGGGAGCTGGCTCCAAAATTGACGACATTCTACCGGTGCGGGCAGTGTTGGGTGCTCCCTTGACTCCATACTTCTCCTTGACTTCCTCAACCATGAGGGCCACGGCATCTTCACCCTTTTTAATTAAACCATTCCTCTCTGTTCTTCAGTGCATAGTTCAGATACTCATCAGAGGAGACACCAAAGACTCCACACGGTGTGGACCTTGTACATTCAGGTAGCCAATAGCTACCCAATGTAGAAGTATAAGTAATCAAGGAACCTCCGCACGTTGGTGGGTTGGACAAAAGTTTCATCTACACATGTTGGGCAAAAGAACAAGGTCCTAGCATGCGGAAGTTTCGATCTTCCGACCTTTGGGTTATGAGCCCAACACGCTTCCTCTGCGCCAGCATGCTTTGTTGCTCTGAATGATTGGCTGAAAAAGAAGTTTATGATGGATGGTTTGATAAGTTTTTCCTCCAAATTTTGGCGTTTGTGGTCCATTTCTCCTCTCCTTTCCTAGCATTGTGTCTGGATGCGTTTTCGAGTTTGCACAATGTTGATTGGGGTTTCCTTGTCGTTCTCTGAGCTCGCACCTGTATGCTAAAATGTAGCTAAACTAGCTAGCTAGAACGTGCAACTCGCCTTATTGTTGATCAGTTTGTTTTTTGTAGAGATGGGAAAATAAAGCTAGAGACATGTAGTGGCCTTGCCGCAGTACCTTGTGCATTAGAACGAAAGTTTGCTGTAACCAGACAGCATTGTTTCTTGAAACCGAGCTGAGGGAGATGGCTGGGGTCCCAATTAGCTGGTGATGACAGCAATCAGCCGACGAGTTGCTGTTTTTGAAAATAGGAATGTCAAAGATGGTTTCATCCATCCTCGTTTTGTAGTTATGTAGCTGAAGCCCAACCTTTTGTTGTTGTTGGTGGTGGTGGTGATGTTGTAGTGGCGGTGGTCCTTTGTTGTTGTTTGTTGTTGTGTTGTTGGCGATCGAGACGCTGTTATTTTTTTCTTGGCCGCATTGCATCCAACCTTAGTTTTAAGATGGCCCGATTGATTCGATTAAATGCGGGTCGTCCTACGGGTTAGAGTTATTGTCCTTGGAGTGAAAAATGCGGCTCCGAGCTTTTCTTGTCTTCTTCTCGGCTTTGCACCGACCCCTGCATCATCGGACTCGACTCGTCTCTGTATTGTTTCCTTTTGATACTTGAACTCGAATACCACATCTACCGTACAGTCGGCATGGATCCACCGCGACGACGACGACGACAACAACAACCCAGCAATGCGGTTCGTTCCACCTCCAGTAATACATCTCCTTCCAGCGCTCTCGACGAGTCGTAGTGCCTTGAGCAACAACAAGACACGACAATGCATCTTGGCTGGTGGAGTCGAAAACTCGATCGATGAGAGCAACAAGAAGACGCGCCGCGGTGCAGAACCATCTGTACCTGCCAATAACACCCACGACCGTGAATACGACGACGATGACGACAACAGTCCTCCAATTTACATTCCTCCACCACCTCGATCTGTTTTGGAAATGACACAAGGAGGAAGTGTCCAGGCACTTAAGGGTATCTGCCATCCGATTGCCCGCAAGATGTTTCAAGAGCTCCAAGCCAGAGGTTACGTCCTCAATGTCACTGGAAAGTATGCCGTGGACTTCTGTACATTCGCCGATGAAGACTGTGGCAAACACGCCCTCTTGTATGCCATGTTTGAAAAAGAGACTGACAACCTCGTCAAGATAGGATTGACTGTTGATTTGGACTTCCGAACACACTGGTATGACAACAAACAAACGCACTACTTTGTTCCGTTCGTCCTGCTCCACAACTTCGACGTGAAAACAGAGAAGGAGGTCCTCCAACCATTGTATCGAGCCTTCATGAATGCTGTCCAGACGGATGAACAAGTTCCCAGCCCAGTACAAGAGGTGTTCAAGATGATTACACAGCGTGGTGGAGAAGAGCTTGGAGTAAAGAAGAACCTGCTTGATCGAAGTGGGAGCACAGCTACACTACAAGCTTCCGGCGCCAGCGGAGCTTCTCATGTTTGATGCCCACGCCTTCCAAGCGCGACAGACACACGTCCAGCAAGCTGTGAAAGCGGTGGTGTCCATGGCAGAGTTGGCATTGGATACGAAAAAGAAGATTGAGATAGAGGCTGTCACCAGCTGGATGACTGGCTTTCACAAGAAGAAGAATGCCGAGGACAACCCAGAGGGGAAACGCTGTAATACCCTGGTTTTCATGGAGTATGTTTGCAATGATCCTGACTTTGATTTGGAAGAGACTGACACGATACCCGTTCCCGCTTGCCACAATCCTCAAAATGCTGACGAGGGGAGGGGTTTTCGACAAACTACAAGCGGGCTGTTTTGCAACAAGGCCAGGAGCGTCTACGCAACTTCTTGCGCACGATGCCAACAAATTGCTTCAAACTATTGAATGCCAACAAACTTCTATTCCGGACAGGACAGGAACTTCAAGAGATGCTTGACGTTTTGTTGGAGTATGGCTTTCTTGTTTGCCTCAATGTGTGGGGTGGAGAGTGCTTTCTTCTCCAAAGCATAAAGACACAGAAAGCCATTGCCTTGCATCTTCCACCAGGATATGCTGGTGACTCACGAAAGGAAGTGCCAGTCTGGAGGTCCAATTTGCGATCGTTGTTGATGGAAGTTCTCAAGCAAGTTGTCGACAACTTCCAGCTGGAAGAAGCACAACCAAGTGGACCGTCCCAAGAACATGACATGTCTTTGAATACATGACAAATGCAGTGCACATGAACAAGCGTGTCTCTGCTGCTGCACTTCGAGATACTGCCACAACCAGTGATTACGAGGCACTTCGTCAGAATGGCTTGACCAAAGCTCCATCTGACCCGGAATATCCCATCTCTGTGAAACTTCGGGACGAATACAATCACCCAGAGTTGGCGAATGTTTTGCGGCCCCAAAATCCATTGTCCATGAAGCGAGGACTCGACTCAACAAACTGTCCTACATTCAAGATGCTGAGGATGAAAGCCAGATTCGATCTGCTATTGAGGGAGTAGACAAGATTTTACAAGCAGACGATCCAGACTTTGGTGCCACTGGCCGCTCGGATCCTGCCTACGACACCTTGCACTACCGTCGAAATCAATCCTACGTCGCATTGTTCCCAGTTCTCCTTTGCTCCAGGCGATCCAAGCCATATTCGAGGCGTCCAAGCAGAATCAAGGAAACCAGGGCGCCCGTGGCCGCTCATTGGAGGAGAGGGATAGCTATGAGGCTGACTTTGACGCAATTACCAATCTGCCATTGGAAACCCCCTTTTACGTCCGGTCCAAAGACACTGATGACCCAGTTCCAACCAACCCTCTTCATCCAATCTTTCCAGCGTTCACCAAGGAAGGGCTCATTGGCCGTTTGATGGACAAGCGACATCGCCGTGGCAATACTAATGCTGTCACAGCTGTTCGTTCCTCCACTCTGTTGTCTCTTTATACCGTGCAGGGAATCGACAGTAGGGCACAGCAAATTGGTGTCAATGGTAAGAATTCCTTTATCCTTTGCCAGCTCAAGGAGCGACTTGAAGATCAAACGAAGAATCTGGAACAGCAAATGCAAGAAATTGAAGCTACCAATGTAGGGCAAGGATTCTGGGTGCGTATCAACAACAAAGCTCCCAGAACCTGCCCTAATCCTGGTCCAGTACAAGATGGAACAGTGCACATCTGTTACAACTTGCCAGCTTTCAACAGCGTCCGGGACGATCGCCTCAAGAAGACAAAAGGTAGCTTGGGCAAGTCAATCAACAAGGTGATGAAGGGGGCTCGTCCGATCAAAAGCTCGGATGGTCACTTCGTACTCTGCAAGATTGTGAGTGTTTAAGACATGACTCCCTGCGACATCTAGTACCGATGCATGGAGGTACGTATTGACGGCATGCAGAGAAGCATGAAATGGATGGCACCGCACAGGCACAGTCGAAGATAGACGGTATTGCCCAAGCATTTGCATCCGTGATGAGAGAAGAGTGGCCCGAGATTGCGGTCAATGAAGAGTTGCACCTTCCAACCAAAGAACCGTGTCAGCAATAGTGCGCGTTTGTACGTATAGCGCGAGTTTTGAGATAGATGTAGGAGCTAAAATGAAGGAAAATTATACGGCTATCTGCACCGAATTTTCGTTGTTGCTGTCCATTGCGCTGTTCGTTGCGACTGGTGGTTTTCCTGGCATGTTGCGAAACCACTCAGCACCACACAAGGGCCACGTGCATTGTGGAACGGTTTCCTCAAGCAAGCAAGCAAGCTACCGCCTCTTCCAACCCCTGTACAACTTGGTATTGGTGCTTCGTACATGTATTCAACGGTGACTTCTGTTGTTCCTCCACATTGGGGTATGTCTTTCTTTTCCTTCATCGTCAGGTTCCGAGTACATGTAGCCACACGGCAAAGAAAAAGGATTCGAACTCCACTTTCTTTGGCATCGAAGAAGAAGCGAAAGCCAAATGCGAAAGACCTCATTGATGATCACGGTGGCAGATTGTGTGGCCGATTGGATGGCCTATGTTCTCACATGGCGACAGTTGAAAGGCCTTTCCAAGATTCGTGTGGTCTGTAGAGACAACTGCTCCCATGTTTGTGGAAAGTGTAAAAAGGCAACGCAGGTAGATGACAAGATCACTTGCTTTGTTCGATACTGGTCATGACACCTCTTTCTTTGGCTTGGCAAGAGAAGATTGGGAGCTCCGTGGAATCAAGAGGCAGGATTGGGTCCTTTCCAAACAAGGTCCAACCATGCAATTGGTATTGTTGATCTGTTGATCTTCGCAATGATCGATGCCTTGAGAATCAACAATCCACCTCTGCCGAATCGAATCCTCCAACCCCTGTGGCTACCCTCAATAACAGGGCTTCTAGCAGTGATGAGAAAATGTGCATTCGAATCCATCATGTGATCTACCGTTCTGCCATTGGGCTTTGGATTGGTTGGTTGTTGGATGCAGCCAATACTGAAAACCACATGTTGTCAGAGCCAATCAGGAAATCGGATTTTGCCTAGACTGTCGGATTGCCCAAGCCTCCAATCCCATCTTATTAGCGCTCTTGTCTCCTCATGGTTGAGATGATTGTGGTAGCAAAGTCTTGTTGTTGTTTGCTGAGCACTGCTGCTGCTGCTGCTGAGTGGTTGTCGACCACGACGGCTGTCCACAACAACAGATGAGCTTTTGTTGTTTCTGACATCACCCCCATGCCTGAGAATGACACTGTCCTCTCTCCCCTGGAGTTCCGGGATTCCCTCCATCTTCGATATGGACTGACCCCTCCGGATCTCCAACCCCACTGTGATGGCTGCAAGAAAAAGTTTGGTCTCCACCATGGCTTTTCCTGCTCCCATGGTGGACTTCTTCTTCAGTGCCACAATCAAATTGTGCGCGAGCTGGCTGTTTTATCTTCCACGCCCTCTGCTGTCCGCGACGAACCCCGTATCACTCTTGGTCGCCCAGCTATGGCTCCGATTGACTCTGCTGATTCTTCCCATGCTCCTACTCCTTCTGATCCCGTTGTCCAAGATCGGAGTGATCTCCTAGTTCGCGGTTTCTGGCATCGAGGTACCGATTGTATTTTCGATGTCTCCCTCGTGGATGTTGAGTCTCCTGGTCGTCGTGACCGTGGCGTCACTGCTGAGAAGGCCCTTTCTCAGCGGGAGAGGCAGATGAAGACGAAGTACCAGGCTCAGTGCACTGCACAACGCCTCCACTTCACCCCCTTTGTTGTTTCTGCTGATGGCCTCTTTGCTGCCGAAGCTACTGCTGTTCTCCAACGGCTCTCTCAGCTTTTGGCTCACAAGTGGTCCAAGCCCTACTCTGTAGTTCGCTCTTTCATCTCGGCCAGGTTGAGCATAGCTCTCGCCCGCGCTGTGACCCTGTGTCTCAGAGGCTCCCGTGTCCCAGCACTCAAGGTTTCCAAGCGTTGGGATGACTGTGGTGCCCTCGATCTCTTCCGTTAGTCTTGCTCCTTCGCTCCTCGCTGCCCTCCTGCCTTTCCCCCTTTCCTTGGTTTCCATGTTGCCCTGCTTGCGCACTTGATTGCTTGCCCTGCGTTCCTGCATCGTGCCCTCCCCTCTGTCCCCACCCTCATCTTAGCTCTCTCTAACCCATAGTAACTTTCCCACAACAACAGATGAGTCGAGTCAGAGCGATGAGACAGTTTGTGCGTTGGAGGCAAAATTTTTGGTGAAAAAGTTGCCTCACTGCATCCAACCTTAACCTCGGCAGGTTAACTGCCTGAGTTCTCAACCCCTTTATTACTATTTCCTATTCCGGTGAAGCCAAAATATAGAGATAGAGATAGTCATAAGCCAACCGAACTGATAATTGAAGGTTCTACAAATTTAAGGGTAGGAATAAATCATGATTATTCAAGGTTAGTGCACTCAACACAATAAGCCAGCACAAGCTACAAAAGTTACAGTTCCATAAGGGAATGACAGCTGTAAAATTATGGTTAGCGGGCGGCAACACACGACGAAGTCGGGTGTTGTCGCCAGGGCTAGCTTAAATAAATAAAAAAGAAGGTTATAATGAGGGAATGGTACCGGGCGGCAACACACGACGGAGTTGGGTGTTGTCGCCAGGGCTACCTTGAAAGAAGGGTGCAATCTCAAACATATCATCCTTCTTCTATTTGTCTTTCTGCCGAGGTATCGCAGCTCCCGCTGACTTAATATTAAGAAGTTTGAGCCAACCTTTTAGCATTTAGAAGCACCTCTAGGGTTAGAGGTTCGATACATTTTTGCTTTGCCACGGAGAGGAAACTTGGAAACTTGCTCAAGTTTGTGGTCTCCGACCCCCCAGCTCGATCGGATAGCAAGAGGTTGAAGCCCGATTTCTAACCTTTGCCCAACCCGTGGATAGCCTTACCCCTCCTACCCCCTCAAACTTCTTTACCAACCCCAACTCTCTTCAACAAAGAGCTCGTGATTTGTGGTGAATCATGGCTCCGACCTCAGTGTACAAATCCTTAGATAGCTAACAGGCGTCGCACCCTCTCAGGAGGCCAGTGTGGCCGGTGAGCAGACTTGACTGTGGGAAATACCCGAGCCTTAGCTCGTGGGTAGTCCTCAAGCACATCTCGTCTGAATCCGTTATTAGACGTTCAGTTTTTTTTTGCCCAACCCGTGGATAGGAAGCTTTTGTCCAACTCAGCACTCTTGCAGGGGTGTGACCGCATGCCCTGTACTATCCAACCTTTTGCCTTGCCGTTGGAGAGGAAACTTTTGTCCAATTTAGCACTTACACATGTACCCACATCTTGCAGAGCTGTGACCACATGCCTGTACCATGGGCTGGTCGACGAATCCTTTTGCTCAACCAAGGTTATTGAAACTGAGCTCCCCTTTGCCTTGAATGGAGACATCAACTTTTGCACCTCCCAACAACTCAGGGTGAACAGCTGTGTGATCCCTTCTGTCTTGTCTCTTTTGTGGCCCCGATCTGTTGCCTTGGAGCTTACTTTTGCACCTTTTGTTGCCCCAACCCACCCTTTTGCCAACTGTCGAAGGGGGGCAACAAGTCTGTTACGTTCCCAGAACACTCTTTTGCCTTGGAGCTAGGCAGCCACCCTTTTGCCTTGGTTGGAGACGTCAGACATTTGCACCTTTGGTTGCCAAGGTGATGAAACTTGCCATCCAGTGCGATAATGATTCGCTTTTGCTGCCTGCCCACGATGAATGAAGATCGTCCGGGAAGTTGTGTAGGCAGAGGAACGCGAACATACATACATACATAGATGTAGCTTTCACAATACGTTTCCCCCTTGCCAAGAGACACTAATCAAGGATCCAGGAGGACGTGCTCTTAGTAGCTAGCACTTACACACTCACATTTTGCTTTCCAGAATGTTGCTCTGGTAGATGGACTTGCCCGACCTGTCTTTTTGTTGCTTGTTGCATTGATGGCTGTTGCGGATTCATTTTGCCCAAGCTGGCAAGGTAGTTAGTTGGTTGTACGGCAACAGATGTGCAATGTTCCATCTTGTACGGTAGTTTACTGGACCAGGAGTAGTTAGTGCAGGTTTTGAGAGCTTTGTTGTTGATACGGCTACGCACCCAGAACGAAGCGTTGTTGCCCAACGTCGTCTGTGGCTTCAATTTCCGGTATTTGCTGTTCCAGCAAAAGCTACCTAGCTAGCTAGGTTCTGTGCATGATCTTTGAGTTTTTGCTCGATCCATACATAATAAGCTGGCTAATAAGGATGAATTTCATTTGCTTTTGCCATCCCGCATTTCGACTGTTGGCTGATGGTGCGAGCAAGTAAGTAAGGGTACACCATCCTTGGTGTGCGTCAAGCATCTTTTTGTTCTGTGTCACCATGTTGCTTGCTTCCGACGGTTGTTTCGATTGATTATTGTTATTGTTGCTTGCTTATTGCGAGTGTCTCGCCTCGTCCCCAACACTTTGTCAAGAGCAACTACCGGTAGCTACGGTTCAGTACAATCAATCAATTTGTTCCAGAGGCCGCACCGAACCCATGAAGTTACTCCCGCGGTGGAATCAGAATCGAATCTTCAATCTTTCAAGAATTCCGCTCAGCTCTCGCCGTGCGTGGATCCACAATCCATACTGCCATCCAAGCAAGGATGGTTCCTTTGTCATTATTGTCTCTTTATTTGTCGTCGTCAAGTACATTTATCATCACAAGTAAGTAAGGCAGTTCGTGAGTTTAACGCTGAAAGGAAGGAATTGTAGAATCCATACCGTACGGTACATTATGTAGTACGGTAGGGCAACAGTGGCAATCTCATGGTCAATAGGTTCTTGGTCGGAACTAAAAGCTTCGTCTTTGGATCTTTGGATCTTTGGATCTTTTAAAAGATTCAATCTCGAACAACACACTCATTCAGTCTAGTCCCTCACGTCACGTCACAGTTTGCATTCTGAACTAAAAGCCATCCAAGCTGTTCGAAAAGTGTTCTTTTCCTCCAGTCATAGTTCTTTCCGAGTGGTCCAATTTACGAGAAAGAATGACTTCGGGTCACTATTGTGTTCTACTATCCTACACATTCATTTATAGTAGTTAGTAGTCGGTCGATGGTTCAAGTTGGTCGGTCACTAATACTTTAATTCTACTATGTTAGTGGTTAATTAAATAAGTCCCCTGTTTGAGGAAGAGAATCGAAGAGATGCCAGTTTGTGTGACGAAAGATGCCTGTGAACCAGTTCGCCAGTCACCATCTATGATTATTTAGAGGATGGTGGTGGTACACGGGATAACCAAGTAAGATTGCGTCGCATTTTTGTGGAAACTGTATACTGCCAAGAGTAGCAACACGGCAAACGCAGCGTGCACCAGTTGATCGGGTGCCTGATTGACTGCGACGAATATGACTGCGGCGACTATTGGCCGTCGGATCGCGACTGCCAAATGGAGACGACATGCTGGTGGCTCTTCCCACTCCAATACTTCCTAATCGACTACTACTGCTGTTACCGTGACTTTGATTACTGGCGTCGTCCAACAAATCAGCGTTGGAGGAAGAAGAGGAAGTTGTGGAGGATCGTGCCGATGCGCGGTGAATCAGACGACTATTGATGGCGTTCAATCCAGTCAATGAGGAAGAACTGCCGTTGTGATTGTTGTTGTTGCTAGCAGTTCGTCTTGGGGAAAGACCTCTTTGTCGTCGATGATCGTCTCGAGTCTTTTTATTGCCTTCGTACATGATGATGAAAGGATGACCTTGGTCTTCGCTAGCTAGCTAGTGCTTCAGTACAGCTGTTGTTGCTATATATTCGGTATTGGTAGAGTAGTAGTATGGCTGGCCTTGCCTTGCTTGGTGGTCGTAGAGATGAGAGTGTAGAAAGCTCGTTCCAGATACAATCCAAACAGTGTCCAACTCTCACTTTCATTTTCCTCCTCAACTTCTTCATTCATCCTCATTACAATCTCTTTTTTCCATGCTGAACTCTGCTTCTTGTACTCA